TTTGTTAGGTTTTCGTCGGCAATCCTTTGCCTCATGTCCATGTCTATAGCAAATTCTGCATTTCCTGGGTCTGAAATGGTCAACCTCCATGGGTTCGTCTCGGCTAGAACTATCTTCGTTGCGCGGGAAATTGCTTCCCGTTCTTAATGCGAACCGTGTTCTCAAATTTTGCTCACTCATAGCTAAGGTCACCGCTAATTGCAAAGTTTTGGGATTTTCCCGTAGTATTTTCAATTTTAAATAATTTTCTTTCAATCCGTCAACAAAGAACCCTACTAGTTGCTTTTCTATTTCTAACGACGATGTTCCTGAATATGCTTCCGATGCTAATACCAAAAGTCGCTCACCAAAACATTGTACGTTTTCATTATGATTTTGTTTAACTTTTCGGAGTAACGCGAAAGCATATTGTGCATCAGTTACTTCTGCAAAGCGCGCCGAGAGTTCATCTATTAGCGTAGGCCAATCTGCTGCGGGATGGGTATCGAGATAGCGCCTAATAAAATTAGACACCACCCCTTTACTCGTTTGATAAGCGATCAATTTCATCCTATCGTTTGGAATGGATGCTAACACCGCATACTTTTCAATGGATCTCGTCCATTCCCGAAACGCTTTGGGGTCCCCCTCAAATGAGTCTATTATTGTTACCACCCCATTAGTCGATATCGAATTTGTAAGTCTATTTAATTGGTCAGATAAAGTGTGGAAGAATGTGGTTTCTTCTTCTGTTGACATGTTCTCGGATTATGCTCAATGGACAGTGAAACAAAATTAACTTACCGATAGGAGTGCGTTTCCTCTTCTGTTCTTTTTCCTAGTTCCTTGATCTTCTTGCCCGTTCAGAATCCTGGTCACTCGCACCAGAAAAATAGGTATATGACAAAGTGTTGTCGATATCCCCTTTTAGCGATCCAATGCTGGTGGTCCCCGTCCGTAAATAAGTTGAATAACAGTTTTCAAATATCTTTATATAAATATCAGACTTCACGTTGTGTTCTTAAAGTTGACATTCAATAGAAAAACATCAAGAGAATAATTTAAAGTGTATTTCTAGTCGAGAATAATTTCGAATGCCTACTAGTCTTAAAGGTAGCCAAAGATAAGACTTTATGAGTAATAACGTTTCCTGTTAAGTACTGAAGACAGAGAGTAGTCTTCTCATATTTATACTCTCGACTGTATACGTCATATCGACAGGAATGATAATCTGTTAATCTTTTAATGTTGGTACTTAAAAAAATTAGCCATTAAATTGTACCTTTTTGAATATGAATGACCATTATATAACGGCCACGAGTCCTAATTCATGGGCTATTAATTTCTATACCAATTTCATGATCCAAAGCGCCGTAGGCAATAACACATTAACCTACTAACAAAAATCTGAATACGGGCGGATCTCAGTTTTGTTACAATTTTTACAGACAACAAAAAATTTATGCAGTGGGCGTGGCAAATCCGGGTTACTTTTACTTTTACCTTAAATAATTCAAATTGTTATAACTCGCAAAGTTTGCATTTGTCACCATCGAAGTTTTAAATAAAACTAAAACACTATTTGGGACAATAATTGATAGAGTTAAATTTTGTTTGGGCCTTTTACTTTAAGGGAATAGGTTTTACAATTTATCAAATGTTGATATTTTGGCCATTTACATGCATGACCTTGGTCTTTACAAGGTCAAAGGTTATTGATCTACGATGTCCATTCATACTTTTATCTTTGATGACCGACATAGATTTTCGCCTTTACAGACGTCCCAAAGCAGGAATTTTCAACACTTTTAAAGCTTATATTTCTTTTATTTGACCTTTGTTGACCTCTTGACCGTAACACAAGTTATAGTATCTGACAAAACCTTTCCAAAAATAATTCCATTTTTGTTGTGCGATTTGTTTTTTTCACTTTACAGCTATTTGAAAATTCGACTTTTTACTACCGAATGTTAAGACCTTTTAGTACCGAATATTATCAAATCCATGCGTCTTTTCACTACCGAACGTTAAACGGCTTAAACGATTTTTATTACTATTGAATGTTTACATGCTTTTCTTTCCGGTAAGATATCTCATTTTGACTTTAAAATGCAACGTTTTATCGATGTATCAGGTTGGATGCGCACTGCTTCGGTACCGTTATAACGGTTCTAGTTTTTTTTGCAGTGCGTTCTTCGAAATGTTTTCGAAATGACTATTTTTTTTTTTTTTTTTGTCTACTTCTGGTCACGCTCCCCAGCCAAAACTGCACATACCACAGATTATCTGACATCATTATCTCTTATACTTAACGTGTCGCTATTGTTTAAATGTAAAATAACGCATCTTCGCCCAACCGGAAATGACGTAGGACTTTAACCGTTCATTACGTCTTTCCAATACCCGCTATTATTCTGAATCTATTTTAAACATAATTTTTGTTTTGTTTATTACTTTAAACTAATGTCTAAAAGGTAGCAATTTAAGAAATTTCAAATTTTGACTTTTGTCTCTGACTTTTTGAGATTTTAGTTAAAGCATTTTTTAAACTTCCACAATTTTATTGCGATCGATCTGAAAATGTTCATGTAGATAAACATTTTGATTGTGAACAAAAATATGCTTTCAAAATTTCGATATCACTTCTGGTTTTGACGTCATTCGCCTCTAAACTTGAAATTTCAACTTCCGGAATTTTGTAGGTATTTGAAAAATTCTTTTTGAAATTAGTTAAAATTGTCCCTATAACAATTTTGGAATCAAAAAATTTGACCCGGAAGTAATGTGTAAGACGCCATCTTGATATGACTCATTTTTATAAAACTCAAAATGGGGCCTCAGGGTAAAATTGGATGTGCGTAGATTTGATGTTTATGTAAACTACAATCGATTGCTAACAAAACATGGGAAGCCGATTTTTGAATTTTGGCTTTGTATTTTTTTTATTTCCGGTTTTATGTTTTCAGTAATTGTCAAAACTATTAAGGCTCATATCTAGTGACTTTGACCTTTGGTGACCTTGTGACCTGAACAAAAGTTGTTGCCTCTTACGAGATCTATCCGAATATATCTCCACTTTTGTTGTGCATCGTTAACTTCCGGTTCTACAGCCATTGAAAAATCGCGATTTTTAACTTTAAAGAACTCTGTCACGTGACCTGATTAACATACGACAAAAATTCTTATATATTCTTTGAGTGCATGAAATTTCCTTTTTGGTGATATATCACACTTGACATTCTGATAAAAATTGCGCGTTTTAAAAATCGAAAATTTTGTACTGACTTCTATAGTAACTGTGCGTAAATTCACGGTGTCTATAATCTACCGACAGTCACAGTTGCCTTAAAAAAAA